GGGGGGGGGGTGTAGGTTTCAGTCCTGTGCTAGTTGTGTAGCGTCTGTGATAGATAATATGTTATGGGTTTTTTTCAAGGACATTTTAAAGGGAAGGCACGGGTCAAAATATCGATTTTCAACTTTTTACATTTTCGGGTACCTGAATATCTTAGGAACCGATACCCCCTGACCTCCATTTGAAAATATTTTAAAAAATCATTTTTACGGTCATTTCTTTTAGGGTATCTTCCTCAAAGTAAGACCCATTTTTTCATCAAATAATCCCCAAATGAGCCCTTAATTAGACGGTGACGACAACAACGCGCCTCCGCGTAACCCTAACATGTTAAGTATCGCTGTAACCGCAAGCTTCTCCTCTTCCAAACCGTAAAACAATCTAGAATAATGTGTTTCTCACAGTTTAGTTATCCTGCCGGACACATGACGCCCCATTCTGTAAATCTTAGTTTGTCTTGGACAAAATGAATCCCCTGTACTAAAAATAGTGACCAGTATTCCGTCAGAGATTGCCGCGCGGTATGGAATCTTCAACAGTTTTTTAATGATCACCTTACTATTTTCTTTCGATTCAAAAGCCCGTTGGACCGTTTTCACCCACGGAACCATCAAATTTGCTTTTGTGTTTGGTGAAACGTTATCATGTTTCTCACTGATCTTTGTTTTAGTGCAGTCTTGTCTTTTTGTATGTTCATTCAGTAGGCTACCACCTAAGAAGTTGTGTTCAATTTAGTATAATTTCAGATTGTTTTTTTTTCTCGGGTTTGCCCGTGCATCTACCTTGATGTGTGGGTGGTGGGATATTTTGTGTTTGTTTGTTTATTGGTTGCTGTTTTTCGTTGTTGTTGGTTTTTGTTTTGGTAATGCAGGTGTTTTTACACGTCTATTGGCAAAATTTAGATCATTTAGGAAGCTGGCTTTCGACCCTGCCAGTCACTGTCAGAGCTAACCCGGGCTAGGAGAGATACCATATCCCAGCAGAAAGACCCAGCTACTCAAAAGAAAGTCTCTACAATGTTCAGGAATCGAACTCAAGTCTCCCGAGTGCGACAGAGAAGCGCATGATCGCTACACCTCGAATTGATAGTTTGGTTTTTGTTAGGGGGTATGGGATAAAAAAAAGTGAGAAAACGAACAAGTATGAGAGAGAGAGAGAG